GATTGGCTATAAATATCAGTGTCTATGGGTCTTTCAAGTCATTCTTCAAAATACAATGAAAATGATTATGAACAGTGTGATTTTGCATTCTTAGAATTGCTCATCAGTGCTTCTGCCTGAGGCAACAAAAACCTGTTCCTCTAGCTAGTGTGGAATGTTCCTGCCAGAACTTAAGGGACTTCACATTTCCAAAGTGAGGCTGATGGAGAAAACAAAATCCAGGCTTGAGACAAGTTGGGTAAGCTAACACAAAGAAGCGTGATTGACAGAACCCTGTTTTCCTATCATTGGTCAAAAACAATACATTATTTAAAGAGACGTTCAGTCTTGCAGAGCATGGGAGAGCTGTACTTTGAGTCTATCTAGGTCAGATGCTGGGGAATCTTTGAAGCTGATTCCTGCAAACGTTGTCTGGGAGTATGGTTTCATGGCAAGGTTTTGCCCTTACCCCTAAGTAGACTACTAAGCAAGATGCCTGGGAACAGAGAGAGTCAAGCCTTTCTGAATCTGATTTTAACCAATCATAAATCATTTGCTACTGCTTTCCAAGGTAAGTGAAAAACGATTGGTCTACACTAGCTGATGATATTCCCAAAGATGAATGACAGAAGCGTGTCCTTGAATGCAAAGAAGAAATGTGAAGGGTCTTATCACTGCAGCGTTGTTACTAATCACTGCAGTATGTTACTAATGTATGTATCCCCACACCCTTCCTCCCTTCTTCCCTCTTTCTCCTCCTTCCTCTATCCTACCTTCACTTTCAAGAAACTAGAGAGTCACCTTTTTATAAGAAAGTAAATGCCTTAAAATATTTAGGTAGAAAATTTTGTGCATTTTCATCATGTGGCTATAAACACCAACATTGAACTCTATTTGCATATTAACAACAAACACTGCAGACCCACGATCTAACCTTCAGCAGTGTTCAACTGGTCAGTGCTCAAAGGTCAGCAATGATGCTGATCGGTAATGCATCAGTGAAAAACATTAAGGAAATTGGAGTATGACCTAATGGACAGTAATTACAAAGATATTACAAATCTCATTACATAAGTAATGTCTGGAAACTTTGTACTGTCTCAAATAAACCTCAACAGCCAGACAGAGCATTTCACAATCACACAATGGCATCACACTTCTGCAATTGACTATTCTGTGTATGAGCCTCGTGTTAATTCATGTTGATGACCTCTTTTTAAAAAAGAAAATTATTTGGCTTTATAAAAACAATTCTAAAGTAGAAATGCGTCCTCTTTTCTGGTGTTTTCTTTTCTTTTTTTTTTTTCTTTTTCCAATTTGAAATTCAACCAGCTGCTTCTGTGTGATAAAAACTGATCCATGAAATACAATGGCTCTTTCCAAGCCCCAACCTGTAGGCAGCTCACAATAAGCAACCTTGTGTATGATACTGAAATAGCCAGTAAAAAAAAAAGCTGAACATTCTACATTACAAAATATCAAATGGTATGCAATCGAGGTCCCTTTAAAAGGCAAGCTGCTCTTTCTCTATAAATCTGCCAATAAAATGACTTTAGGATATTACTCTAAAATCAGTATGTAAAAAAGTCTTTTTAAAAAATCTGTTAGTGGCAGTGTTGACCAATTCCTTCTATGAGACTTCACAAATGCCAGATGTGATCGTATTCCCATTTTGTGGGTATCTGGCATATCACCGCCATTATAACACATCCGTTATGCAACTGTGCTTTCCAGGAGGCTTCTAGAAAGATTGCTTGCAACATGAGGATGATGTCCAGCTTAGTGCAGTCTTTAGAGACTGGATTCTGTGATAGGCTGCTCAGTGGTGACGCGCGGTGGGTCCACAGTAATCTCTGCTAAGTGGGAATTCTGTTGACCCTCTGGCAGTACTCAGGAAAGTGGAGTGGAGTCAGGTTTCCAGAGCCAAATGGAGATAAGCTGGACTCTGACCAGTACACACACAATTTGACAATGCCTAAGTGTTACTTTGATGTAATCAATAACACAGATCACTTCTCTAAGACAACGCATGTCCAGGAGTAGCCAGGATTTGTGCATCTACACCTGTAACATTTGTATCTTAGCTGCTCACCAATTTACCAATGTAGAAAACTAAGTCAGTTTAGATCTGACCGTAGAAACTCAAGTCTCACTTTGCTTAGAAGAAAAGTACTCTAGGCTAGACCAGTGTGTCTCCCATAGGAACCACTGGCTTAATGTGGCTCATGACCACCCGATGTAAACATGCTTAGACTACTAATTTAGAAACAGTATAAAATAGATTCAAATTATCTCATTATTTTTGATTTTGATATAATAATATGTATATGCTGGATTAAAATATATTATCATTAATTTCATATTTTCTTTTTAGAAGGTAGCTAATAGAAAATTTAAAGTTACATGCACGGCTATGGGAGTGGTGGCATATGCTTATGACTCCAGATCAGGAAAAGCTGAGGCAGGAAGATCACTATGTGAGTCAAAAGTCAGTCTGGGTTACAAAGTACATTCAAGGCCAGCCTGGGATACATAATAAAACCTTGTCTCAGAATTTATTTTTACATGTGTAGCTTATAAAACTTTTTAATATAAGCACTTATTTTAGAGGATAACTTTGTAACCATTCTGTTCTAATCTCTCTTATTTATGCACTGTTGTGGCAAGAGGGCCAACAGTCTGAGAAACCCACTGCAAGCACAGGTGAACTTTCTTTCTAAATAGGTGAAATAATTGCAGACTGTCCTCTGTAGTAAAAGAACTCCATTACACTATGTGCTAGGCCTGATATTGAAATAAAAAACAATAATGAATGTAACTGTCCCCACATTTATTTTCTTTTTGATGATACAGGGTTTCTCTGTGTAGCCCTGGATGTCTTGGAACTCACTCTGTAGGCCAGGCTGGCGTTGAGACTCAGAGATCCACCTGGCTCTGCCTCCCACCATCTGTAACTGTCATCTCTTAAATGCAAATTTTAAAAAAGTGTTTCGTTTTGTGACTACATTACTGTGGTGGTTTGAATACACTTGCCCCATGGGAAGTGGAACTACTAGGGGGTGTGGCCTTACTGGAGGTGGTATAGCCTTGTTAGGGGAAGGTAGTCAGTGTGGAGGTGGGGTTTTGATGTCTCATATATATGCTTAAACCTGGTCAGTGTGATCCAGTCAGTCTCCTGCTGTTACCTTTGGACTGAGATGTAGAACTCTCAGCCCCTTCTCCAGTACCATATCGGCTTGGATGCTGCCATGCTTCCTGTCATGATGATAATGGACTGAACCTCTAAAACTGTAAGCCAGCCCCCAGTTAAATGTTTTCCTTTATAAGAGTTGCTTTGGTTATATCATGTTGTCTCTTCATGGGAATAAAACCCTAACATTACCGATTAAGAGTAATATTAGAATGTGTTCTTTCAAATTAAGACTGTTTTCCTTTAAGTAATCTTTGAAATAGATAATATAATTTTAACAAGCAATATAAGTGTTGATTGTTCTTTTTAAATGGTAATATAATTATTCTCAGATGGAATATTCAATGATTTGCGTGTAAGGACTCAGCCCTTCGTAAGCATTAACAGGACTTAATCTTTAGCATACCAGTGACAATTGAAAACTGCTGATACTTAGCTAATGAAGTGTATAGGTTATAAAATAGGGGAAGGAATTGTGCTAAAACTCTTGAGTTCCACCAAGAAGGGATGACATACGATCATTTAAGTGACTGATTCTGAAATCCATGAGGCCTTGGCATTTATGACGCTCTCCCTATAGTCTACAGGGTCATTCAAGGCACTCACCCCATGTTGGAAGGAAGGAAGACCTGGGCTGGGTTTAAGCGATGGTATGCTCTGATATTTAAGTGCCACCTTCTAACAAAACCCCCAGTCTTCTTCCTCTTCCCATATATAGGACACTCGCCATACATATGGTAAGTTTGATGAGGAAAATTACACCAGGAAATTGCTCTTCCAAAATGGAAATCTTAACAAAGCATTCTTAAAGGTTAAAACTAGGGAGCCTTTTATGACCCTCAGAATGAAAGTTCCAAGAGGGAAAAATTAAAGCAGAAGGAAGGAGCATAAGAACATAAACACATCAATTAACATCAACTGAAAAAGGATCGCCCTGATCAGAAGATGTTCTCCCAGCCAGCTGCCTGTCAAAGACCCAAATCACAAAACGCTCAAAGCACCACACTGTCTCCTTCCCCAAGAGCTGTCAGAGTCTGTGCTTGATACGCTGAAGTGCTGATACCCTAACAGCCCAGAGAAACCCCAGATCTAATTTCAGTTCCCAGTACAATTGTTTGAATAAGTCAGAACAACTTATTAGTTTAATGAAAAAAATTCTGTGCTATTCATTCTTCTTGCCCCCATTTTGGACTTTAAAAGTAATACTTTTTTTAAAAAAATCAAGAAAACTCACACAAAATATTAAACAGTTATTTTGATAAAGTGCTCATTTTCACTCAAACTCAAAATTTGAGGTATTGGATTTAGTATGATTTTGGTAGCCTCCCCCTGCAAATTATTCTGAGAAAAAAAATCATGCTAAGGTTTAATGCTTAGGGTTTAGTGCCCTCCCCGAGGTCTGATTCAAGATGCGTTTTAATTTTATTTTTGGTTTTGCTTATTTTTAAGGCAAATAAAAGTTTATGCTATGCTAAATTCCTTGGCATATATTCAATATATTTCAACATTATAAAATGTGTGGCCCCTTCCACGGGGAAAAGGTCCTAGCTTTCATAGTGAATTTAAGCTTATGAACAGGGTGTTAATAGTTGGAGAGTATCCTTCTGCTAGTATCGCCTTACTCTAACAACATCTGTACTAAATGATCTAACCACTGAGTGTATTGTTATAAGATTCAAACATTTTGGCATCGATTTGTACAATGGACTTTTCCAAAACTTGAAACTTGCTACTTGCAGAGTATATTCATAAAAAATGTTCTGATATGCAAAATATCATATAAGCTTACAGATGCGAATTTTCGTGAGAAATGAAAAGGTGTTAGTCTTGGTATATCTAAAGCCTAATTCTATCTCCTTTTATTTAAATTTCTTCTTCTTTCCTAGGTTTTATACTCTGCAGGGGCATTTTATTTGAAAGGCAGGTAAAGGAAAGTAGCAGCACAGTTTAAAAATAATTTCCCAAGAATTGTAAACTGGCAGAATTTTATGATAAGCATTTTAGGTATTCTTATATAGTGTACTAAAAAATAAGACATTCCCTGCATACACTTAAGGGGACTGTGGACTCAGGGCCTTGTAAGAATGCTTCAACTTCTCAACACTGTACATGGATGGGTTTGCACATTCTACAGGTATCTTTCATAACCATCTATGGCCTACTTTTATAACGGCCTGCTCGACTGTTCCCACTGAAAGTATTTGGAAAGTCATGGGAGTGTGTCAGCTAACTCGAGCTGGTTTTAGCTGAGTTCAAAGGAAGTGCCTCTTTGAAGACTTCTGGAGGGTGTAGGATGCCTACTGCTTTCAAAGTCCCTTTGCCATTTCACTTCAATATGTGCCACCAAAGGCTGAGAATGTTTTTTAAGTGTTGTGTTGTTTGCTAGAAATTTGAAATTTAACTCATCGGTATTAGGTATCCAATACATGCCGTAGAAAACGTCATTATTTCATAAAGCAAACGCATGCACTGACGTTAGGGTTACCAACTGGTATATATGGTTTTTTTGCACCTCAAAACAGAATCACTATAGTGCATATCATGCTTCCCCACCTCGCTGCAGGACAAAGGACATAAAATGCTAGGGTTGGCTTCTGAACCTAAAGGAAGCCAGCTTAATACTCTGGCAGAGTCGCATCCTGCTGGGGAACCCCAAGTCCCACGGCAGGGTCTTCCTCCTCAGCTTCGGGGTCCATTTCTTCCTCCACAGTCTCCAGCTTCTCCCCTGATCCCCTCTTCGTTTCCGGGTCATCTGTGTTCAGCTCATCCTCTGGCTCTGGAGGCACCATCCTGGAGGTCTCCTCCTCTTTTACACTTGCATCTTCCGCATCTTCCGCATCTTCCTCCACCTCCTCCGACTGCAGCTTCCTCAGCTCCTCGGAGGTAGCCTCGGCTGCCACTTGGTCCCCCTCTTGCATTTTCTTTCCCAGAAGATCGGTGTTGTCCTTGGCATCTTGGGTTGGAGGTGAATCTGAGCTGGCCTTGTGGGCCTCCTGGAGGCTGCTGTGGCTGCTGCTAGCACTTCCCAGCCGAGAAGAGGCCACCACAGCCTTGACTGCTGCCTGATTAGAGAGAGAAAAGTACTAAATGGTGTTTCCAGGGGACATCCCAGATTGTAGTGTAATTTCTACTTTGTTTTGTAGGTTATGGTTGAGTCTTTCAAAGTGAAGTAAATTACTCCAAGCTTGGTTGTAAGATAAAAATGTATTTGGAGACAAAACAGTGAAATCTCCTCAATTTCATATTAGAATCATTTAATCATATGAATAATGGGGGCAAAGAGTAAAATGTGTTAGACCTAGAGTATCTGAAGTTTTGTATTCTCTATTCCTTATATATAAAAGGATGTTTCCTGGAACACTAGATCTATGATGTCAGTTAGTATCATGGAAATTAAAGAGGTGAGTGCTCAAACTAAATTCAGAAATAGCTAACCCAATGCTTTTTAATACAGGTCATTTCAAAATTTAACCATGGCTCATCTCCTGTTCATTTAATTTCTGTCAGCCTGAGATGTACCTAATCACTATTTTACTTATATTCTACAAAATAGATGTATTTTGGTGGATAGTTTCTGTATCACTTCTTTTAGTAATTATTTATACTATAGATTAGTTCTAAAAATTGTTTCCCAATTATTACTCTCTGAATATCTGCCTTTGTCTCAGTCAGTTGCTGGTAGAGTCTCTCAGAGGACCTCCATGCCAGGCTCCTGTCTGCAAGCACAATATGGCCTCAGTTATAGTGTCAGGATTTGGTGTGCACGCATGGGATGGCTCTCAAGTTGGGCCGGTCACTGGGTGGCCTTTCTTTCAGTCTCTGCTCCATTTTTGTCTCTGCATTTCCTTTAGACAGGAATGATTCTGGGTTAAAAATTGTGAAGATTGGTGGCTGGCCCCTTGCCTCAACTGAGGGCCCTCTCTATCTATCTGAGGTGGTCTCTTCTGGTTACATGTCCTCACTCTTGGGCATTTCAGCTAAGGTCATCCCCATTGAGTCCTGGTAGCCTGTCACATCCCAGGTCTCTGGGACTTTCTGGAGGTTCCCCTGCCCTCTAACTCCCACTGCTGCACATTTCCATTCATTCTCTTGGCCCTCTAGGCATCCTTCCTGCCTCTCCCAATACTTGATCCTACTTTCCTTTTCCACTGCCTCTGCCAGTTTCCTCCCTCCCTCTATCTCCCATGAGTATTTTGTTTCCCTTCTAACTGGGTTTTAGGTATCCACACTTGGGCCTTCCTTCTTGTTAAGCTTCTACTGTCTGTGAGTTGTATCATGGGTATTCTGAACTTCTTGGCTACTATCCACTTATAACTGAATAGATACCATGCATGTCCTTCTGGATCTGGGTTACCCCATGCAGAATGATATGTTACTTATAGCCAACTACTGGACTGGGGTTGGGGACCAATATGGAAGAGTTAGAGGAAAGACTGAAGGAGCTGAAGCAGATTGCAACCCCATAGGAAGACCAACAGTGTCAACTAACCCAGACCCCTCAGAGCACCCAGAGACGAAGTTAAAAACCAAGGAGGACACATGGCCCTGGTCACGTGTGTAGCAGAGGCCTGCCTTATATGGCCTCAGAGGGAGAGGGTATGCTCAATCCTGTGGAAACTTGATTGCCCTAGGAAAGAGGGATACTGGTGGGGGTGATGTGGGAGTGGTTGGGTGGGGGAGTACTCTCTCAGAGGCAGGGGAGGGAGAGATGGGACTGAGAAGGGGGAAACTTTTGGAATGTAAATAAAACAATTTACAAAAAAAAAAAAAAAGAACTCTGAACAAATGCCAGTTTCTTGATTGGTGTCTTGCTCAGATAAGGAGGAGCAATGATGTATCTGCTGAGGCCTGGTGGAATGACTCAGTGATGTCCTTGCTACCAAGCCTGATAACCTGAGTTCAATCTTTGGGACCTGAGGTGGCACCTGAGTTCAATCTTTGGGTTAAGGTGGAAGGTGAGAATTGGTTCCCTCAAGTTGCCCTCTGACCCACACATGCATGCTATGACACACAGAGAAAGTCTGATACACACATGCATATACATACATAGTAATTTAAGCATATCCCAATTTTTATTCCAGCTCTGAACTTATTCCAAGTGTTCCCCTGAGAGAGAGAGAGAGAGAGAGAGAGAGAGAGAGAGAGAGAGAGAGAGAGAGAGAGAGAGAGAGAACAAAACAACAGAAACACCTAAGTGGTTTTGTGTCAGTGCCTTACAAACTCTAAAAACAAGAATTTTCCCGGTGTCACAGAAAATGAATAATATAATACTAAAGGAAGACAAGACATCTTAAACACACACACACACACCTCAGAACAAAAACATATGCTTTACCTTAAGCTTGCGCCGAGCATTGAATTCTTGAAGCTTCTTCTGAGCCGTATCCATGTGGACAAAGTTGGCAGCTTTACCTGTGACCCATGGGTGTTGGAGGGCTTGAAATGTAGTCAGCCGTTTCTTGGGATCCAACACAATGAGCTTTTTGACCTGCAATCATAAAAACATATAGACTTATAGGAACTGAAAATTTCACGTTGTGAAAGTCTAGCTGTTCTGTTCTCACTAGCACCAAGCCCGTACACTCTCAGGAGTTGGACCAACCTTAGGGAAGCAGCAGCTAAGCAAGTTCCAGACAGGGGCACACAGCACCTCTGGCCCCGAACTCACAGATTTCTTTCCACGGAGTTCAAACAATTAGATCCTGGCTCATCTACTGACCAAGTGACTTCTTAGCTGAACCAGCATCTGAATAATTCTAGGCCACGTTATGAAATCATTTAGAACTCAGAACTCCAATGGTATCATTCCCTCAGTGGAGACTAAACGGCAAAAGGTTGGTGTTCAAGTCCTTATTGAGCACTACTTTTATGACACTGTTGAGATTTACAGTTCATTAAAAAAAAGAAAAACTCATGGAAAGTGCTTGAAGGAGTAAGTTCACAGCCAGAATAAAAGCCACTTTACGATAAAGTTAAGGAAGTTGTTGGCTTGAGGGGTATGAGCTTCATAGCATGACTAAATTCATCTAATGGCAATCCATTCTGGAAGATTTGCTCTTGTTTGTGAAGATGAACAGATAACAAATTGCCAGGAAGATCAACAAAAGAAATCATTCCCAGCCTTGGGCTCCAAAGCAGTGGCCTGGTATGAGGAAGGCACACCCTGGACTCAAGGAGCCTCGTGTCCTGTCTACGTCTGTGGCACTTTCATGGCACACAGACACTGATGGATTGGGAATGATTAGCTCCAACTCACAAGTGAAGAATAAAAGTTTGTTCAAAGACTTAGCTAAACACTTCGTAGTCAGAAGAGCTTGGAAATTCAAACTCAGGTCTACACTGTGCGAAAGTTCATCCCATGTCCTACACCGTGAGGACTCCAGAGTCTCTCTAGACATCAGTCTTGTAAAATAAGATGCCCCCAATCGTTTAAAACCAAGGTCGTTTCTTGCTCAAAAATCTGGGAGAGAAGGGAAAACAGGTGGACAAAATCAAACAGCAAGGTAAATAAGGAGCAAACGCATCTCAGTATCGATTTCATGAAGCTTTTTTCTACATAATGTTTGCTACAGAGTGCACGTCTGAAGGGCAAGCACTGGTTAGTAGAGGGTGGGGATCCTTGGATTCTTTATAGCACATATTTCAGAAGAGAAGAAGCAGAAAGGCCGTGGCTGGGGCCCAGGTAGGAGAGGGTGAGGGCTTCTCTGAGACAGGGGTAGAGGAGGAGGTGAGAAGGTCAGGAGTCGGGTGTCATGTCCACATGTCACACACAGATATGGGCTGCCTCCCTTCCTACCCATATTAGGAAAGCCACAGATCCTAAAGAATCTTTCTGTGAAACCACATTGAGAGAAAGAGAGAAATATTTGGAGAGACAAGTCCTGGAAAGGGGCTCTGGAAACTCAGTTCTAATCGTGACTTTCTGCTGGGAGTCTTCGTGAACTTTAACACACTTTGCAAACTTATGACTAGAAAACTCCTAAAGCCTTTTTATGATTCAAAATCAACTCCATTACTTTGGCACATTTTTTTTCCCTGCAGAGGAGTGATGGCTCCTGCTTCAATTTACACAAGCATCCTTCTACAGCAGAGGAAGAAGAGCTCTCTGGAAGGGAGTGCTAGAATATCAATGGGCTTCACTGTGGGCCTGGACGTGAGGCAGTGCAAAGCGAACCATAAAATATTCTATTAATGGAGTGGCTCTTGTTTATAATTCCAGTGGTGCACAACAGGGCTCATGCCACTGTCAGAGGATTTTAATAAGTTTTAAAATTTTCATGGATTCATTCATATTTATTTGAACTACATCTACATTTAGGTGACTAAGCCACATAAAAAAAGAATTCTGTGTGAATGGTGTTATTTGAAAGACTCTATATTTACCAGGTAGGAGAAATTCATTAACTAATGCTACTGCGATGATTCGGCTAGTGAGAACTGAAAGGATGTCTGTTTTTTTGTTCTGCACAAGGAAAATGCATTAATGCGCCTTTTTTTGGTGTTAATATAGTTTGTTTTTTATTTTAATTATATATACTTTTTATTTTTATTGGATATTTTATTTACATTTCAGATGTAATCCCCTTTTTCCTCCACCCAGGAACCCCCATCCCATCCCCCCTCCTCCTGCTTCTATGAGGATGTGGCCCCACCCACCCTACCACTCTCACCTCCCCACCCACGATTTCCCCCACACTGGGGTGTCCAGCCTTCACTGGACCAAGAACTTCCTCTCCCACCTATGCCTGACACTGTCATCCTCCCCTACATATATAGCTGGAGCCATGGGCCCCTCCCTATGTGCTCCCAGGCTGGTGGTTTAGACCCTGGGAGCTCTGATTGGTTGGTATTTTAACGTGCCTTTTAAATGAAAACATCTTAAAGTTATAAAGAAATTACAATGTCAAGCATGGCCTACTTTAAAAATATCCCTCACTATTTCTTAGCTAAATATTGTTTCTCTCATTTTGTTTTGGTCTCACTTACCAAGTCCTTGGCATTTAAAGACACTTCATCCCACCAGGGGGAGATAAAGTAATATTCACAATTAAGAATTCTCCTGAACATGAACTGATCACCTCTCTCGTCATAGAATGGTTCAAATCCACAAAGTCTGGAGGAAAAAAAAAAAGGATCAAATACCCTTAAATGATTAAGCATATTTAGTCACATTTCTACAAAAAATTCAAGTCTCTCTATATTCCCTATAGGTAAATCTACTTGTACAGGTCTGTGATTGTTTGGTTATAATTTATGACAGACAGCATAAAAACATCTCCAGCTAGTAAGAATAGTAGAACCAAATTTCTTATAAAAGCTGTAACAACAACTACAATAAGACTTAAAACAGGTACACACACACACACACACATACACACACACACAATTAAAATGGCTAATATTATAGACTTGTGGTCATGATTTTTTCCAGCAGATTTTTCTTGATAATTAAAAAATTATTAAACAGACTGATTAGGGTTCCAAGTTAATATAAAATGGAAGAGTTAAAAATACTGCTTTAAAAGTAGAAAGAAATAGAACTCCACAAGAATTAGTAGGTATCACTTGATATATCAAATCGAGTTTGGATTTCAGACTGAAACAAAATAGAGCTAACACTATTAATTCAGTTACCACAGACAGCCAATGGATGAGCAGCCTGGACTCACTTCATTCTTGTAGATGACCCTTATTTTAAAGATGGCTGACTACATTCACTTAACTGTCTCCTACAGGGTCAGCAGGAAAAGAAGCAGAGTGTGAGAAAGGGAGCTCAGGAAAAGTGGGCATTGGCTCTGGGGTTACCCAGCCTCCACTGGTTAGAGACAAGTGACCATTCTGGGTCTGGGTCGTGACAGGGGTTGGGGGTGGGGGACAGCCCTAACAATTAGCAGTCTCTCCCGGCATTTATTTACATGTTCCCTTTGAAATCAAGTGGGAAAATAATGAAAAGTTAAAAGGTAGCTTCTTCCATTCTTCCTTTAAGCCAGCCAGGTTGCTACAGAGCACTATAAAATGCTTCCTGAAATGGCAGCTTCTAGGAAGAAGCTTCTTATGTTCTTTGTGGTCATGAAACGTCTCCATGGGAGAATCTTTGCCTCTTCCAAACATTCTGGAGTCTTCTGGGAGAGGGTGAAACTTTGAAATGGAAAAACCCAGAATCGGTACACTCTCCTTGCATAAGTCTGCATAAGTCTGACCCACCTGCACAGGAAGTGGCGGGGCGTAAGCACAGAGGGGTAAGCAGGGCTCTCCCCTTGACCCTCCTAGCCTCTCTAACCCAAGGGAAGGGTCGCCTGCTACTGGTTAGTCATGGAGGAAGTAGCTGGCTTTTCAGACTTGGCTCAGGAAGGTCCTTACATTCCCCATTCTGCTACCCAAAGACAATGGCAACTTAAAAGTCATGGTTCCTCAATGGCCTTTCACCACAGTCAAGCCAATCACTTTTCTTTGATGACAGGGCAAACAGTTGATAACATGTCATCCCGAAACGTTAAAATGGAAAAGTTGCAACACAGAGTGTGAATCACATACACGCTCATGGTGTAAAGCTCCCTTGGTGGTACTGCAGTGGTAGTTTAGGAAATCGAAGGGATTACCCAGCGCCTGGGGTGTAAAGGTACAGGCTAGCTCCAAGCCTTTGCAGTTCACTGCAGTGTTGAAAGCTGAAGGAGACAGTCGGATGACTTAGGATGTCAATCTGAAAACTATGGTCATGAGATCTAAGCACTACAGCTTCCCAAGGTAACAGTTCCAGAACTCCTTCGAGAAAAAGGCCTTTGTTTCCAAACTAAAGTGATCTTCAGAAAGAGTATGGTCATGGCACAAAACAGGTGGTGATAAGCAGAAGTTTTAAGGAGTGAAATGTTAAGGCAGCAGTTGTCATAAGATGAGGGGTAAAAGGAAACAGGTTTCCACGTCAGTAAGAATTAAGGGAGGGGAAGATGGCTCTGTTGGCTTGTCATACAAGCACAAGGACCTGAGATTGATGGCCAAAGCCCACATTTTAATATGCCAGGTAGGGTGGCATGCACTTGTGATCTCAGTGTTGAGAAGGTTGAGACAGTGGAACTTTGGGGTTTGCTTACAGACTAGTTTAGCCTACATTGTTTCAGTGTCAGAAACCCCATCCCCAAAATGATGGAGAGCATGTAAAAATGATACCTCAGGTTGTCTTCTGGTCTCCACATGTGTACACACACAAGTACACACATATGCACACATACATGTGCACCCACACAAACACAGGTGCACACATAATTCTACTGGTGAATTTATAAAGATAAAGCCCAGTGTTTATGTATATGTACAGAAGTGGAAAAAGAATAACCTCATTTGGGCAATCATGCTGAGATTTAACTGATGTTCATAACATAGCTTTCCCAGGAAGCAACAGTGGACTAGATCCTAATGCTATCTTTTCCATCATTACTTCTGTGCTCTTTTCTCCTTTGGTTCTGAGCCACCTAGTGCTATTATTCAGATGTCTAAATGTCACAGCCTCACTGACTAAGTGCACATGAAGGCTAAATAGAGGAACAGATGTGCCAAGGATCCTTGCCAGATGGACTTTACTATAGTAATGAATGACAGGTAAATTGACTGTCCCAGGCTTAGGGCTGATAGCGGGGAACTGAAAAATAATATTCATGGGCGATACTGTTGTTTCAGCCGCAGCATATTACAACCCTAGGTGCATGAAAATAGAAGAAAAACAAAAATGAGTTTGTCTGATGTAGATGGACTTGAGGGAAGTTACTCTCACAGATATGACCTCACTTCCCATTTTCCTGTGACAGTGGCCTTTCTGTGGAGTTTTACTTATTGTGTATTCCAGTTTTCCAGAATGAATGCAACTTAATTTTCTATTTTCATCTCAAGTTCTCTTATAACAAGCATCAAGGCCTCAACATTTCATGGAACATTTCAACCGGAAATTGTTACCCAGGGACACACATGTTTTTAGAGCCAAGAATGGGGATCCTTATTTGTGTGTGTCTTACAGTTTCTATTGCTGTGATGACAAAAGCAAGTTGGGGAAGAAAGGGTTTATTTCAGCTTATACTTCCAAGTAACGACTTGTCACCAAGGGAAGTCGGGACGGGAACTCAAACAGGGCAGGATCCTGGAGAAAGGAGCTGATGGAGAGGCCATGGAAAGGTGCTGCTCACTGGCTTGCTCCTCATGGCTTGCTCAGCTTGTCTTCTATAGAACCTAGGCCCTACAGCCCAGAGATGATACTCCCCACAATGGACTGGGCTCTTCCCCATCAATCACTAAGAAAATGCCTTACAGCTGGATCTTATGGAGACATTTACTCAATTGAGGGTCCCTCCTTTCAGATGACTCTAGCTTATATAAGCTGACATAAAATGAGCCAGGACAGTGTAGTTTGGGTTTTTCACTTCCTATCATGACATGTTCTTGTACATAGTTCAGGAGCTAGGTCTCTCTCTCTCTCTCTCTCTCTCTCTCTCTCTCTCTCTCTCTCTCTCTCTCTCTCTCTCTCTGCCATGTGGGAACACAATGCAAAGGAACTTTTCTTAAACCCCCAAAGAAGCCCAACCCTGCAGCTACTTGACCTCAGGCTTCCAGCCTCTGAGAGCGTGAGGAGGTACATGTCTGTTGTTTAAGCAACTCTGCTATACCCTCAGTGATGGCAGGTCACCTATGTAACAGGAAAATCTCTCTGCACGGCTGCATATTATGGGTTCTCTAAACTATCTGTATTCCCTTCAAAATGGCCGACAGATGTGCCTACTGTGCATTAGCTCTTGGGTGCATTGATACCGAGTTGGGTTTTCTACAGCAGTCTTCATGCATGCCCTCCCTCACTGTTACCTCTAGTTCTGTCACCACATTGGCACAAATCTCTTGAAATTCCTTAATTTTTTTGTACTAAACAGCAGCCCAGTAATGGATTTGGAATAGCAGCAAGTGACCAACTAGCTCATTGAATTCACTCAGCCCAAGGCCCTTGAAATCTTAACATACAGGAAAAATAAATCAATCAGTAAAATTGAAATATTCTGGTAAGAAACATGCTAGTGTAGGATTTCTTATGACACAAATAACAGGTGTCCTAAACGGTCTGTTTAACAAGATGCAAATAAATAGTGTGACAGGTGGACTTAGATTTCTTACTTATTATGATCATCAAATATGCCCCCAAATGTGGGCACATTATATAGGAAAACCAGATAAAGAAAAGCCCTGGATACATTCTGCCCTGGAGAAAAAACAAAAACAAACAAACAAACACATAAGAAGGAATCCTCATTTTGAGAGTATGCTCTCACCATGATTAATGTCAAAAGAGACATCACAAAAAAAATCAAAGGGCGACATTCGTCAAAAAAAGTCAAAGGGCTGCTTTTCGTCACTTACAGGATGTAGGTGATTATTCCTACAGACCACATGTCCACCTCAGGTCCATAGGCACAGCCTCGGAGAATCTCAGGTGCTGCAATGAAGGAAAACAAGGTTAACTGAAGCGTGCCCATGTCACTCACATGTTAATTGCAACCAACAAAACTTGAGAACTCTCATCCCCGATCTCTCCCATAGCCACACTAGGATGAACCAATCCTCATACCTGTTTCTGTAGGAGAGACCACAGTCTCTCTGTCATGGCTCATGAGAGTAAAGCTATTCATTAATATCAAATCAAATAGAGAAAAATCAAATTCTGTATTGGAATACCATGTTATGGCTTGGACAAAATATGTAGAAATATGTATTTCCTTGCTAGAAAAAAAAAACCCAAAGCAACAATAATAAAAATCTTACTTCAAAGGACACTTCATATATACACAGACAAGGAAGAAGTGAAAACAAAGCACAGTCAGGGGGAAAACAGGCAAAATTATGCTTCCTAGAAACGGAGAACTACTTGAAGCAGTCTGCACATGTGTGGAGGTAGGGCAAGGACCCGTGCAGAGGATAGCAAGGATATGCGGATCTCCAGCACAAGAAGGCTGCATAGGAGCAGGAAAGGGCGCAGACACCCATCTTGGTCTTGACAGCCACATATCAGTCCCTAAGGAGAGGCTGTCCCCAGTGTTCCTGAGGTCATGATCTGAGAAAGAAAGCCTTCCCCATCCATAGCAAGGCTTATTCTGTTAGTTTCCTCTACTGTTGGGGTAGGCAGGCCTTCTCAGCCTTGGCATGGTCCTGGAGTGACGAATACATTGATCCCTTACATTCCAGTTACCTGAGAGTAGTGAAAATCAGAAGCTGGCTGGGGGTGGTTTCAGTGAGTACTGGGGAAGCACTGTTTACTGAACTCACAAAGAAGTACTGAGAAGCAGTGTACCAGAGAGATGGGCTTTGGGGTCTATTAGCCCAAAACATAGTCTTTAGTGCTGTACATGCTGCTGGGCCCCTTAAGGAATGAGTTGCTTGATGTATGCTGAGGGGCCTTGAGGTACGTCTAGGGGACCAGAACACCACATTCCTCTGGATGTGGCCTCTAAGAACCAGTGAATTGGACTTACTGTCTTTCTGGTGAGGACACCAGAAACATGGGCTTTGGGAGGAGCCTATTTGCAATGGGCTCTGGGTCTACTGGAAACATTACTGTGGCTTTTCCATTGGTGGATTTCGGTGTCACCCCACACTCCACCCTCCTCCCTTGAAGACTTGTGTTATACAAAATACAGATGAAGAATAGCCAAGTCAAAACCGTGAAAGGCAGCATGTAGCATGACGAAGCAGCCATGCAAGATGTAGTCTTTAAGTAACTGTACCTGGATCCCCAAAAGTTTCTTGTCTACACTTGAATTATTTCTAGGGGAAAATGTCCTTTTAAGATCTGATAAATTGGGAAGAATGCCTACCCAACGTCAATGTCTTTCCCTGTAGGGAATGCTTTTGTTTCCTGGGATAATTTGCACTTCACAGAATGAGGCTTTAGAACTCCCCCTTGTGAGTGCTTTTGCCAAAAGAACTCAGATTTGACTGCCATCTCCTGCTGTCACCTGTCTACGGGTCCAGCACAGAGCAGGGAGCACAGAGGGTGTTTGGTTTGCAATAGTGAGTGGCATCAGGCCTTGCTCACTCAGGCCCAGACCTCAGAGAACCTGAGGAGAACCCCATCAGTGCTGGCAGAAGCTGGAGACTTGGTGGTTTTGTTTGTTTGTTTAAGCTTTCAGATCTAAGTGGCTGAGGCTTCCTGATTGCCAAGTTCCTTGGAGTTTTAACCTGTGATTTGGTGAGTGATTAGCGACTGAGCCTCAGTAAGAAGAGCAGCCCAGCCGGAAGGACTCCTGGAGAGCCTGTTCTATCTCATTTCCATTTGCCCTGCTGAGCCCCGCTCCTGGCCTGCCGCTGGACGCCTGTCAGGGATCAGTCATTCTCTCCTGTGTGTGTTCCCTCTTTCCCTCCCTCCCTCCCTCCCCCCTCCCTCTTTCCCTCCTTCCCTTCCCTCCCCCCTCCCCTCCCTCCCTCCCTCCCTCCCTCCCTCCCTCCCTCCCTCTCTCCTTTCCTCTCTCTCTTTCTCTTCTCCTCCCTCTTCCTCTCTCCATCTCAGGCACCCAGCCAAGAGCCCTGTAGCATTTATCAGCTAGGAAGGAAGTCCCCTCTGTATGTCTCTCCAGAGCAGCTGAAATGTTTGCCCAGCACAGGAACATCTGCTCTCCTTCACATCACTTACAGACACACCCTCTAGTAGCAAAACATTTCCCTGCAGTGCATTATCCTTCACTGAGTCAAGTTTGGAGGTCAGAGGTTAACTGAGACAAAGGGAAAATAAGACATTCTTGTCTTCTATAATAAATTTCCCTTAAAATACTTTTTGTAAAGGAACTTATTCTGTCTTAAGTCCAATATAAAATTGAGGTTAAAAAAAAGTCTACTCCAATTTTCATTTTAAATCAATTAACTAATTTTAAATAATATAAAATCTAAATCAATTGACCATCTCAAATAGTATTAAATATATGTTTAATTACTAGTTAGTATGATGTTGGCTTTCTTTGGAATCAGCTGATATCACTTGTAACCAACCCATCTGAACACTTTAAAGAGCTGAAAGCTTTGTCCAAAGGCTTTTCCAGACTAACTTCAGATTCTGATAAAGCATTCCTTCAAGGCTCCCAGGCATTGGCCGTCCTAACAATTGACGATAGAAATCTGTTGTTTCCTTACAGCAAGAAACAATGGAGAAGCAGACAGCTAATTTCTATTTGGTAAAGATATCAAACCAGATGTGGCAGCACATACCTGTAACCCCAGCATTAGGAAGTGGTAGGCTGGTAGACCAGAAACTCAAGGTCCCCTTCAATACACTGTTTGAGGCCAGCATGGACCACAGGACACTATACTGGAAATAATCCCCCCAAAAAACAGGAAGGCTGTCAGCCTGCCTTCTAATGCAGTGAGCCCTGAGCAATCTTTCAGATTTTTTTACTCAATTTCCAAAACAAACTCTAAGGAGACAAAGTCCTTTCAGGGCATAAACATGTTTTTCAGGTGTACTCCAGCAGCAGGGCAGTGGTAGAATGCACAGCTGGTGTCCTGAAGGCCAAGAGCTCCATGCTTATCACCAAAAACAGATAAAGTGTTTTACCTGACAGACAACAAATCTTCTGTTCTCAATGGCCCACAGCATTTACTGACTTCTGGCTGCCTTCTAATTAACCGGAAGTACCTGCCACTTTCGAACCTCAGCTTATCATTTAAGTTAGCACCTGTGAAACCTGTCAAAGAGCTCCCTACACACCTATCAGCCCACTATCAGAACAGCTGAGTTTTCGTAAATGTTCCATACATTTCCTGAATGTCAGACATGCCGTTAAAAAAAAAAAAATTTGGACTGAATATAAAAACTACATGAATGTTCAAACTGTAAGATATTTATTCACTACCTGCTAGATCCACAGTGTTCATTTTTTTTTCAGTTAGATGATAGCATCATTGAAACATCAATGATGGTGGAGATTGAAGATCCACCTAGAAATTGTGATGAATTCAGACAAAAGCACTATAATGAGTTCTGGAAATGGCAGATGACGGCTTCCTGAGACCGCAGGTGCTAGATTGTTCCTCCTTTCCAGATGCCCTAGGAGAAAGCTACTGGCACATTTCAGTCCTTGACCGTATCTTAGTACTGATCCGAGTAGGCTCCATGACCCTTTCCTACTTACTGGGTTACAGCCACAGAGTGGCATTGGGTATAAGACTACTATTAACTGTGTTGACTGCAACAGATCTGAAGTAAACTTAACGAGGATGAAAATAATGCATTTCTTCATCCATTCATTACGTAAGTCATCAAATAAGTACTTGCTACATGGTAGACACTGTTGGGGGTACTGGGGCAATCGCAAGGAGCTAAAGGAAGCAAGTCCCAACCATATTATAAATCATGGTCAAAGACATAAATGTTGATTAAAAACAAACCATAAGAAGAGATAAAATGGTTGCTATGGCCTTTGGAGGAGGATGACTTTGATCGGGAATAACAAGGTCACATGAGTCATAAAGGGGGCAAAGGTCAAAGTGAGATAAGCTCTACCTAGAGAAGTTAACTAGACAAATGGAGAGAGGGTTGTCCAGGAGAAAGAGCAAAGGGAGCTTCAAGTGGAGAGGCAACCACTGGTCAGTCACAGTCCCATGGCAGGAAGGAGCAGGGCCCAGTGGCGAGATGGGCCAAGCTTCTGGAAGGCAGTCAGATCTAGTGATTTTCTTTGTTTTTAAATCTCTCATCTGCTTTCTCACTAGCAAATCAAAACACAAGGTGGTTTAGGGCAATGGCTCTGTACTTCTTAAAGCCTGAATCTGACTTTCCAGAGTCTTCTATTCCAAAGTAGAGGGGAAACATTGCCAAATTTTCAATGGAAACCTTTGCCTTGAATGTGTGGGGCAGGTGCACACATATCTGGGTGAACACGTGGAACTGAGAGGAGCATCTTGAGTATCACTCCGCAGGAGCTATCCACCATTTTCTGATACAAGGTGTCTCACTGGCTCAAGGTTTGCAAAGTTTTCTAGTCTGTTTCTGCATCCTCTCTGCTGAGTTCACAAGGGCACAGCACCACGCCTGGCTGAGGATCAAACTGAAGCACATGCAACCACACCTGGCTTGGTGCACGAATTCATGAATTCTGAGGATCAAACCCAGATGCTTCTGTTTGGATGGCCAAGACTGAGCTCTTTCCCATGTTCTTGCTCTGTCTTTAGAGAAGCCTCTGGATCTCTAGACATATGTCTAGGGGATAGAACTTGTGAAGAGCTGAGGAAAGAAGAGGGGATACATATGCAGAAGTTTGAAAAACTCCTTCCTTTTTCCTCACTCTGGGAAGCCAGAGAGGGATAGACTCAAGGCAGCTGCTCAGTGCCTACAGCTGGACAGACTCCAAGTTGGGTACTTTTGTTTTAATGTATATAAGCATCTGTGTCTTATATAGCCCTTTGTCAATCTGTCTATATATGATAAGAAAATCACCACACCTGTGTGAAACT